GCAACAAATAATCACATTCCTCTTCCCATTCTCTGACTGGCAAAATGTTTCAGAAGTAGGGTGCTTATCCACTTTCACTCTCCTTTTGAGGTAGTAGAATCATGCTGGATGCTGACTGTCATCTGTAAGATTTGTTTGCTTGCTGCCATGTAACTTCAAATCAACTTTGATTTATGGTGATCCTTTCCTAGGTGTTGCTTAGCACGAATTATTCAGAGATTTGACATTACATTACTTTTAAGCTGTGTATTACTTGCCCCAGGACATATAGTGACTAAACAGAGATTTGAACTCTGAACATTATACTTTGCTTTCTCTTATAATGTGGCCTAATTTACAAATATTTAGATTGATCAGAAGTGGAAGCACATCTTAAGTAGTCCAATAATAATGTCAAATTCTTCAACATCAGATCTTCAGAGGGAAACCTTCAATGCTGACAAATGTTTGGTGCATGAAAATGACTTTATTGAATGAAGCTGCTCTTCACTGATTCTGGGAACTTTCTAAGAGAGTCACCTTTCTTATTGCATCTCTTCAAACATCTACAACTGTAACATTTTGCTGTTCTGTGGGTACCTCGGCTGGATTTCTTGCTGGGGAGGTAAGTTCATCCTCTCACAATTCCATAACTGTGTAATTTTTAATTATTTGTGGGGTTTTTTTTAAAAAAACTGCTGATTCTGCAAAGTTTAGTTAATTTTAAAAAATTAATCTTTTCCTTTTTTTTTTACTGGGAGAATAGGGAAAGGAAGACTACCAGAAAATCCCATTCCTTGGCATCACTTCTGTGCCAGATCATTGCAAATCTAAGTCCTGGGACTGTGGTGCTATCAGTGGATTTTTTTTTCATGTCAGGAGTGACTTGAGAAACTGCAAGTCGCTTCTGGTGTGAGGGAATTGGCCATCTGCAAGGACATTGCCCAGGGGATGCTCAGGTGTTTTGATGTTTTACCATCCTTGTGGGAGGCTTCTCTCATGTCCCCACATGGGGAGCTGGAGCTGACAGAGGGAGCTCATCTGCGCTTTCCCCTGGATTTGAACCTATGACCTGTAGGTCTTCAGTCCTGCCGGCACAAGGTTTGAACCCATTGCACCACCAGGGGCTCCTAATGGCTATTAATGGGTTGTGAGAATGTGGCAGAACCCATTAATGAGTGAGGGTCCTGCGTGTGACAAAGTCCAAACAGTTAGCCTATTTTCTTCTCTGCCTCAAAATACAGGTTGCATTATCTCTTTGCACACCAAGACAACTAGTTTACATCATCTTTTCCTGGGAGTGGGGAAGTCAGCCTTTGCTCCATTCAGTAGACTTAAGATTGTGAAATCCTTAGAGGCCCTTGTAAAACATCATGGAAAGCCCTGGGGCAATTAACCCTCCTCTGTCAAGTTCAAAACTCTGGATATGTATTGCCTCAGGACAACTTGCTGTAGAAGTCAGATTTCTGGGTTATTCTGCCAGGAAACCCACAGCATTAAATTGGCTATACATAATTTGAAAGAAAATGACAACTACAATAGAAAAAAACCTACAATATTTAAAATATTTATAACCTCCTGTTTTTCTATGTGAGATGGTGCTAGATTATTAATGTTGTTGTTTTATGGAACCAAAACATACACAATAGGAATAAGTGATGATTTTTAAAGTCCTAGTAACAATAGGAAGAGATTCCTGATGGGAGATGACTGATGTCTTTTCCACTTTTAAAATATATAAGGTTTCCCTCCAAGTATACACATTGATGCATCTGAGAGATTTTACTTGTCTCAGTAGTGGGTGGTGGAATTTACATCCTGTACTAACCTGCGATCTGAATTAGATGGTGCAAACACTTTGTTACCTAAGGCGATACTAAGACGAGTACTAAGCTGAAAACTCCCTTGCGAATATTATAGAATGGAAGCATATTGATATTGCAATTAAGTAAGTAGATAAATAAAATGCAAACATGAGTCAGTGTGGGTCAGTGTTGGCAGATTAAAGCTGCATCACTGTATAGCAAGTCTGCCTCAATGGAACTTCCAAGCAAACTGGAATACACCTGGGTGTTATGCATATCTACAGATGTACACGCACATCCGCAAACTAAGGAAATTGATTTGGCAATGATGATAAGGGCTGGTATTCCAAACTGGAGTTACCGATGTGTAGCCCAGAGGTACAAATCTGTAACTGTTCCATTATTAGTAACATTATGTAATCCAATTTGTGGCACCACTGCCATAATTATAAGCAGCACTTCTGGTTTTTTTGAATGCCTGGGTGGGAATATGGCAGCAGTGGCCAGGGTGACTAGCTCCTTGAGGTATCATTGATACTTTACCCTCTACACCAGGCATAGGCAAACTTTCTAACATGGGGGCTGCATGCTAGCACTCCCTACTGGGAGGACTGGCTGCCTGGTGATGGAGGGGCGGAAGGGAAGGAGGAAGGAAAGAGAGAAGGAAGGAAGGACAAATGGAAGGAAGGGAAGGATGGAAGAAGAATGAGGGAGAGAGGGAAGGAGGGAGGAAAGCAGGAAGGAAGTAAAGACAAAAGGGAAGGAAGGAAGTATTAAAGGAAAGGAGGAAGGATAAAGAGAAGGATGAAGGGAGAGAAGGATGGAAGGAAGGAAGAGAAAGAGAAAGTAAAGAGAGAAGGGAAAAGACAAAAGGGAAAGGAAGGATGAAAGGGTGGAAGGGAAGGATGGAAGGAGAAAGAGGGAGATAAGGAGGAAGGAAAGAGGGAAGGAAGGAAAGGCAAAAGGGAAGAAGAAAGGATGAATGGAAAGGAAGAAGGAAAAAGAGAAGGAAGGGAGAAAGAGAAGGTTGGAAGAAAGGAAAGGAAGAATAGGAGGAAAAGAAGCAAAGAAATACAAAAGGGAAGGAAGGAAAGAGAAAGAGGAAGAGAGGGATTGGTGTATATAAGGCACTATCTCATTGTTAACCTGTATAAATATCAAAAGACTAATTTGTAAGTGCCTATGCTGAGGTGGGTTTTTGTTATGTTTTGTTCTTTGTCCTTGGAACTGGCAAAACTACCTCTGGCTATTGCTTGCCTAAGAAAACCCATTGAGATTGATTAAATCAGTATGCAACTTGAAGGGCATCTACCACTGGTTCACAACCTGTGGGTCCCCGGATATTTTGGCCTTCAATACCCAGAAATTCTATCATCTGGCAAACTGGCTGGGATTTCTGGAAGTTGTAGGCCAAAATACCTGGGGACCCACAGGTTGAGAATCACTGGCATATACTGATATCCAAGTTCTTGATTTTGAAACTAAATTATGTTATCACTGCCAATCCAGAACAGGCTTTTAAAGTGCAAGTTATTTCCAGTTTGCTTTAGGATCATTTTAATCTGCCTTCTGGTCTTATTCTACCAGATACACAGAGGCGGCTCAACCCATTACGCAAAGTAAGCATTTGCAGTATAGTTGATTTTGCCCAGGGGCGCTCTTGAGGAGCTCTTGGGGGAAAATAGACATTGACATATGCGAGTTGTAGTTACTGGGATGTATAGTTCACCTACACCAATGATGGAATTGAACCAAATATGGCACACAGAACTCCCACGGTGAACAGAAAATATATATCAGTGATTGGTTTGGGGGGGGGGCAAAATACTGTTTGCTTACCGTTGAAAATTACCTAGGGCCGCCTCTGCAGATACATATATTAACATGTGTTCGTTACATTTGGCAATGTGTTTGTTTCACTTTCAAAAGTATTAATAAAAACTTCAGAGTCAGTGTTTGTACTTGAATTACAACCATTGTCTTGTGGGGTTCCTCAGGGCTCAATATTGTCTCCCATGTTGTTTAACATCTACATGAAGCCGCTGGGGGAGATCATCCGGAGTTTCGGGGTACGGTGTCATCTGTACGCGGATGATGTCCAACTCTGTCACTCCTTTCCACCTGCTACTAAGGAGGCTGTCCAGGTCCTGAACCGGTGCTTGGCCGCTGTGACGGTCTGGATGAGGGCGAACAAATTGAAATTGAATCCAGACAAGACAGAGGTCCTCCTGGTCAGTCGCAAGGCCGAACAGGGCATAGGGTTACAGCCTGTGTTGGATGGGGCCGCACTCCCCCTGAAGACGCAGGTTCGCAGCTTGGGTGTGACCCTGGACTCATCGCTGAGCCTGGAACCCCAGGTTTCGGCGGTGACCAGGGGAGCATTTGCACAGCTAAAGCTTGTGCGCCAGCTGCGCCCGTACCTTGGGAAGTCTGACTTGGCCACGGTAGTCCACGCTCTGGTTACATCCCGTTTAGACTACTGCAATGCTCTCTATGTGGGGTTGCCTTTGAAGACAGCTCGGAAGCTCCAACTAGTCCAACGCTCGGCAGCCATGATTTTAACAGGAGCGGAGCGCAGGGAGCATACAACCCCCCTGTTGCGCCAACTCCACTGGCTACCGATCTGCTACCGGGCTGAATTCAAAGTGCTGGCGTTGGCCTTTAAAGCCCTAAACGGTTCCGGCCCAAGCTACCTATCTGACCGCATCTCTGCCTATGAACCCACCAGGACTTTGAGATCTTCCGGGGAGACCCTGCTCTCGATCCCGCCTGCTTCTCAAGCTCGGCTGGCGGGGACGAGAGATAGGGCCTTCTCGGTGGTGGCTCCTCGGCTGTGGGACGTCCTTCCTACGGACATTAGACTAGCACCATCTCTAATGGTATTCCGCAAAAAGGTGAAGACCTGGATGTTTGTGCAGGCGTTTGAGTAATTTAGTGCAATCTGGTAATGGAATATAGGAATGGAACAATGGATGACGAACCTGGACTACGCTTGGATGATGAGAAGATTGGGTACGGTTGTTTTTCGTAATAATTGTGCATTGTAATTGCTTATTGGTAATTTATGGATAATGTGTTAAGTCAATTGTTATATGTTGCATGGAACCACTGCTGTTTCTACTGTTTTTACTGTTTGTGAACCGCTGTAAGTCGCCTTCGGGCTTGAGATACAGCGGTATATAAGCAAAGTAAATAAATAAATAATAAATAAATTAGGACATTTATTTGGTGAAACATGTAATAATCAAAAACTTTGTAGATTACACATACAATAATCTAAATTATAAAGTCACTGACTCCAAGCAATGTTGTTTCTTGCTTCCAAGCCATTTCCCAGATGAAGTCATTTCCATAAGGCAAACCTATCATGGTATTTTCATGGAAATAATTTTATAGAGGGAGTTTGCCATAATCATTTTTAGGGCAGAGAGGTTGTTGCCCAAGAGCAAAAATTCAAACCCTGGTCTCTTGGAATCCTAGTAGAAAACTCAAACCACTGTGCCACTATGTCCAAGTCTATTGCATTATTATTTTGAGATTTATGCTTCTCTTTGTCCATTTCCCATCAACTACTAAATCCAACTTCCAGAATTCCCTAGCTAGCATGGGACACAAAATACTGAACATGCTTTTGAGTCTTGCAGTATTCTGAGTCAGTCACTAATTCTCAAACTAAGAAACTAAAAAGTGTGGTGAGTTTAAAATAACCTAATTCCAGATATGCTGTGTTGTAGAAAGGCCAATACATCAAATAATGATTAAGATGATTAGTAAACTTTTAAGTGTGCTCAATTATTTTGATTCTTTTTTTAAAAAAATCTTCTAAATGATTATTTTTTCTCAGATTATATTCTAATTAAACCCCCTACATTATTTTTGTGTATGTAAACAGACTGGCAAAATGAGTACAAAGTTCCTTTAAAAACACATTCATATATATTTAATTGAATAAGTATAAAATGTTACAACATTTCATCGGTTTGCTAGTTACAACATTTAACAAGTTCATTTGTTTCATATCTAATGTTTTTTTAAAAAAATGTTTTTTAAAAATAATATTTCTTCAGAATGAAGCTGGTTTTTCTAAATGAAATATATTTTTATCTTTATGCACCCTACTGCATCATCAGTGAAATTATTTAGGAAAATAATAAAATCTAATTTAAATCTCAAGGCAATCTCAATTGATATAATTGATTCTAATCACAGCCTGTCTGTATGATTACTGTTACATCATTGCTTTTGCCAGTCTTTGATAGTGTGCATCATGAAGTTGCTGAGCTTCTGAGATCTATTGTTGTTGAGAGCCTCTAGGCTGGATGTTCTCAGAATTAAGCAGGAATGTGGTATAAGCCATCTCGACATCCTCTTTGGAGTTCTGGAAGAATGAACAGAAACCTCAGGATTATTTCATGTAGCCCTGAGACCAGGAATAGGAGCAATAAGGAAGAACAGGCTTCATGAGACAACACTTGAGTCAAAATCCTGCCTGGTGTACATGGATAAGACCTGCAAACTGCAGCTTCCCAACCTTGTACAGACTTTATCAAGCCCCATGGAGCAGTGCTATAGTTCTTAAATAAATGGCTGTAAAGGTGAAGAGAAGAAAAGAAAAGGAGATGACAAAGGAGTGGGGACTGCCTCTACAGTTCATGAAAGAGAGAGAGAACAACAACAATAATCCAATAACCTAATTCCTTTTCCTCTCTCTAACAAATATCAGTGGAGACAAGAGCAAGTCCTTACTGCACAGTTGCTGCCTTCTCCTCTTCCTTTTGTCCACAACAATGTTAAATAGCATAGATGGAATGAGATCCAATAGGACTGAGACTGACAGTTGCACATAACGTTTTGCCAAAAAAAGTATGATGCAATTCTATGAAAGTGAAAACTGATTCTTTCTGATGGCAACTGCATGGTGCTGAGGCATATACTCAAATGTAAGTCACTAAGCTTTGTATTTATTCCTCTTGTTCTTGTTACATAATAACAAAATATATGTGAACTGATGCCATGTTGTGAAACCCATTGTTCTATATCATGTAATGGAGAGAATAGGAGCAACGATGCCACCAAGAGTTTGCACAAGGAAGTTTGGTAAGTGTTCATTTTACATGCATATGAGGTACATATACAAGAGCTGTCAGTACATTGTCTTTAAAGATATGTTAGATACCTTCTTATTTCCCTCTAGATAGTTCATTTTAAAAATCCATCATCCTCCAGTTCTGAACAGTAAGATGTCAGTAATTACTGAAAGTTTCTCTTTTCATCATATCACTGCTTTGGTTAATGGCTAATGCTCTTCAAATGTCTAAAAAGTCATGACTCTATGAAGACAATTCTTCATTTTTGCACAGGAAAACAACATTTAATTAAAAAAACCTATTCAAGGGAATTTTGGTTCTTGGAGGTTGGAGACTACATAACAGATTGCCATATGAAATGTTAAAATAATTTTATTGATCTTACCCTTTTTGCCTTTGATTTACCAGCCTCTTTAGGACTATTGGTAGTAACGATATAATCTGTAAAGAATGAGAGTAATTAAGTGATTGAATGTGAAAAGAACAGGAAACTACATATTCATTATTTCTATACCATTTAACTGTCATTACTGAATGACTTGCCCTTTCATTATTGCTGACAAACCCCAAGTTGCAATTAAACAACATTTAAATAAGGACATTTACCATCCTTGCCCCCTATTTGGGTCTCATGAGCTTCTGCCACGCACACGTTGTCCTTTGCCCCGTATTGCCTTGCATTCTCAAAATCTGTCATGCTGATATTTGTCCTGTAGCTTCCAACAGAGACCAAATCTATAGCAAGGAGAGAGAAAAGTCAATATAATGCACATCTTGCCACCACTCTTCACCAGCACATTATAACATTTAAAATATGTGTTATGACTACCTAATCTTCTTTAGCTACTCCAATAACAGATAATGCTATGTTCTCAGAAGTACATCTGATGTACCATGAACATGATGAAATCAATGCCTTGTGGTTAATACAAAGGCCTGCCAATAGAATGGGCTGCCAATTACTTGAGATCCCACATACAAAAACAAAACGTTCTGTTGTCTTTGTGGTTCCACCAGTGGTCTAGGTCAAAATGCAGCATGGCAAGAGGCTCTGTTATACTCTGTTGTATCTTTCAGATACAAACCAGTCTGGCGAAACTGAGAGTCCATCTACACATTCCTTCCCTCCCCTCTGCTCCAGTCCATTCCTTCCCTCCCCTCTGCTCCAGCACATGTCTGCTTTTAAAAAGCCCGAAACAGCTGATCGGGCTGTGAAACCCAATCAGCTGTTTAGGGCTTTTTAAAAGCAGACATGTGCTGGAGTAGAGGAGATGGTTTTAAAGAAAGCACAAATGGATAGCAATTAAAACTCTCTGAAACTCTTTATTTTAAACTTTATAATATTAAACAGAGTTTGAATAAACGATTGGAGAAAGGGAGAAATCCGGCAGAAGTTTTTTCTACCATGATGTGCTGAACCTCATAAGCGCACACGTGAATCTGCTTATATTTATATTAAGATATTCACATGTGCGCATAATCAGTCCAGCACATAACGGAGTGATTTTTTTAAAAAAATAAACCTTCTGCCAGTTGTCCCCTGCCCACCCCCCACCTTGTTCTGATACAGAGAAAGCCTGTGGGGACAGCAGGGGACCCAGTCCTGGCACTGACAGGTCTGTATGTGGACCTGCTCTCAGGTCCCAGGATTTTTTTCGTCTTCTATTTAAAACCTGCATTTTCATGCTGTCTGGAAGTGCCCTGACATACTCAACACCTTCCCATAAAGTCTTTCCACTATCACTGCTCTAAGGTTGCTCTATACATTTATGGTAAAGCTATAAAGAGTATATAATACTCTAATGTTCTTATTGCTTATCAGGGAGATTGACCCCAATGCATCAAGTCATCCCATTTTAGAAAATGAACTGACATGAGATTTTGTGGGGTTTGTTTGTTTGGGAATAGGATTTGGGTTGTTAGCTTTTTTGAAGCGGTTTGAAAAACCTGATGTTTGCTTCTGGTTTGTCTTTTTTACTATCTGTTAAAGCCACAGAAATTGCAAAGGGAACTCTGAAACTGTAATTGAAGGAGTCAAACAATATTTAAATTAGCTCAGTCTATTTATAATTTAGCAATAGGTATAAATATTGATAATTAAATCCCATTTAGGCCACAACTGCCATTGACTCACCTGAATGCTTGAAAAGCCTAAATTTCACAACAAAAAAGGCAGTGGCAAGAAGTACAAATATGATTCCAAGTGGGAGCAAAATGGAAAGAAGAACTGTGGAATGTTTACTTTCTTTATGGCTGGAAAGAAAAGTTGAATAGACTTAGTACAGAATTTATAATGATGCACATGTTACTTCATACTTAATATTCAATATTCAATATTCTTCAGAAGGGCAGCAGGCTGGTTCAAAAAACGAAGATGAATGAACAAGAACTTCAGAACCTTTTCCCTACCTAAAAATGTTTTACTTCTAACTTCTACTAAGCTACCTAAAAATGTTTTACTGCTTCTACTAATGAAGCAGTAAAAGGCTTGAAAGAATTTACAGGGAACTGCTGGCTTGAAGGAGACGCTGCCTTGACCAGGGTAGTGGATGGGAATTACTCTGCACATTTCCTCCAGCTTCCAAATTACATACTACAGTGCCCGAAACTTCAATTTCTGACTATACCCTTTTCATACTAGCTTGGGGATTTGGAAAGTTATATTCCAACAAATTTTTTTTACAAACTTTCAGCCATATGGTATATTTGAATTTAAAACTATAACACACTTCTATGCAGTTCAAGCAGTTCCATATTTACATGGGATCCATACCATTTATCTCCTTTGGCTCTCAATAAGTATAAATTGTTAATTTACTTGTTGAGCCCCAGGATTTAACAATATGGGTATTACTGTTTCTTACAGATTTTTTTTGCTTCATCACATATAGTACATTGAATTGTGCCTTTTGTAAGCCGCCCTGAGTCCCCCCTCGGGGGTTGAGAAGGGCGGGGTAGAAGTGCGAAAAATAAAATACTATCCTCAGACCCCTTCGAGGCTTTTACAGTGGCTTACCTTTCAGCTGGAATATCATTGCTGGCTTCCTTGTTGGCATTGTTTAAAGGAACAATCCTATTTTGAGAAACCACATCACTAGGTTCCTCATTGGGCCTCAAAGGTTCTTCAGCATTTCGAAGTACTATGTAGAAGTATTTGGATCATTAACATTCAGCAGAACATCAGAATACAAAAGGCAAAAGAAAGAGAGGGGAAAGAGAGAAAGAATCAGTACCTATTGCCTAATATCAAGGGCAATAATCAGAGTTTAGAAGTAACTAACTACAATAATGAGTGATTTGTCATTAAGTACTTTTGGGAGGGGGTGGAAGGAAAAAGGAAAAGGGGCTGACCAAGGGCAAGATGGATGGATGGCATCCTTGAAGTGACTGGATTGACCTTGAAGGAGCTGCGGGTGGTGATGGCCGACAGGGAGCTCTGTCGTGGGCTGGTCCATGAGGTCACGAAAAGTCGGAAATAACTGAACAAATGAACAACAACAAACTTTTTCGAACAAGGAAGATCTATCCTAAGTTTCATTATGATTGCAATGCAAGGTAGGAACATATTATAATATGGCCAGTGTGTCGAGTTAGCACCCTCAATCTGCCTGTTTAAAGGTGGACAGCATAAAGAGTATAACCTTGGATGTAGTTCCACTGATCAAAACTGAGACTCACCTCCTTGCACTTGCAGATACGTTGCATATGTTTCTCCATAATGGCCACCCTTTCGGACTCCACACCAATACCATCCTTGATCTGATAGGGATGTTTGGTCAAAATGCAGGGACAAAATTCTATTGCCTTTATCACAGCTAACAACTAAGCCAGCCTGGGTTTCTTCAGATGACATAAGAGGTTCACATCCAGTGTTCTTCCACTTGCACCAGTATTTCTCATAATCAGCATATTTGCATGGGTAAGTGCATGTTATAGTCAGTGGAGCGCCAGCAACAGCATGTATTTCATTATCTACTGCTAAACTGGGTTGTCCTGTTTCTGAAGACAGAAGGGGAAATGAATGTAAAATGCATAATAATTTCAAATAAGCAGAGAACCTTATCATTAATTCCTGTAAATATAATGGCTAGCTCAAACACCACATTTCACTCACTGTCACTTTCCTCTGGCCAATATTACATACCACAATCATATTATCACATTGATTGTTTCACTCACTGTCACTTTTCTCTGGCCAATATCACCTACCTCAACTATCATAATTATGCTGATAGAAGAAGTGATGACTAAGCACTAAAACCCTTGGTTGTGTGATGGATAGGGACAGACAATGTTTGAGATGTTTAGATCATAGTAGGAAAGAAACTCTCCTTGCTGCCTTGATAGGTCTCTCTTGCTCCCTGCTCAAAAAATTGCAAATCAAGCTTTAAAGGTTGTGTCTAATTTGGTCTTGTCTGTGAGTTACATGCATTAATTGGAAATAAATTCATTTGAAAACAAATTATCATATTTAGAATTGAGGCATGTATTGGGCTGGCTCATTTTGGTATTTGACAAGAGAAATGTAAATCTAAGAAACAAGAAACAAGAAACTTGGTTTGGTACCTTCCATGATCTTCAGCTCTGTGGATGATTTCCTTTCCTGCTCTCCACTTGTCATACACCAATAGAATCCTTCATCTCCATTATGAAGTTGGTTCAATATGACAGTATAGGTGCCATTCTCTGGACTATCGTGCATCACTATCCTTCCCTCATAGTCATCCCGCACATCTCCCAAGTTGTTTATTAAGAAGGTACACTCATTTTCATTCCATTTGCACCAATATTTGGTTGTTTTGCTCTCTTTTGGTTCATAATGACATTCAACAGATACTGAACCACCTTGGACTCCATTTAGTATTGGTTGTTGTTTGGAAATCAAAACATCTAAATAGAAGTAAAGAGTATAGAGTACATGATTAATAATTATATTTATACTATATTAGAGTATAACACAAATGTTTGAATGTGAACAATGAAACTGATTCTTAGTATGAAACCTGTCAAATTTAAGATAACTAGAGCTCGGCTGTAACCCACCTTCATACACATGTATATCCAATTTCTTGGTTTCTCCTTCTGCGCCATAGTTCCCAGTCCCACAGAGGTATAATCCTGAATCTTGCTTCTGTAGTTGGGTGATAATGATGTTGAATGAGCCAGGAGTTTGCAGGTTGCTTAACAGAATTCTTCCTTTATAGAATGGGTCAATATTTCCATTTGTGTCAACGATAGTGGCACAAGTGTACTTTGTCAACTTGCACAGGTATCTCCTATCACTTGCATCACCAAAGGCACAGGTTATAGTCACAGATCCATGCTGTTCAACATAAAATAGCTGAGCTTCTTCAGGTATTATGGAACCTGGTGTAATAATATTAACAAGTCATTATTGGGTAAATAGCTGCATTTATTATCTATCTTTCCTTTTACTATCCCATGTTGCACTGCATTATTTTACATACTTTATCACAATGTTTCTGTGATAAATTATTTATGTGTTTAACTGTTGCAGATCTGATTATTTATAGATTTGATAAAAACAATCTCTTTAGGAACCTTCAAGCCCTCCAGCACAACTCTATGGTCAACCTCTGGCAGAAGTTGACCTTAGAATCACACTGGAGGTAAAATGTAAATAGCGCTTTCCCCAATTTCATTGGGGGAGTGGGTGGTCCTGTACCATTAACCTCAGTGAACATGGAAGTCCTACTGTGCTATGAGTCCATATCTTATGAAATGTGATCATGCCACATCATTCTATCAGGTAGCACCTGTTTATGCTGTATTGAGGTATAGCAGGTCTGCATCAATTATGTATGTATCTAGGTACAAATGAGGAACTATATTGAGATATTGGTGACCCTCCTTATATAATTTGTTGGCTTGCAGACTCATAATATGTCCAGGTGCCAAACACTCCAAAATAAATAAATAAATAAATAAATAAATAAATAGATAACGTAAAATTACTGTCCTGCCTTTCATACGGAGTCACAGGGCTTGTCTGCACTAACCAAAAAACCCTTCTGTCTTCACAGTGGAAAGTGATATCCAATGAATATCCTGTCTTTTCTGGGTTTAATTTGACTTTGGACCTCATCAGATGGCAAATCATGTGGCAGCGGGGCAATCCACCAAAGCCCCATTGTTCCTTATGGAACATGGAATGGCTTGTGTATTGTTGGCGGCCCCCATCTCACCCATGAAATCCCACTGGAATTCAATGTACATCATTTGATGGGCAGTGTGGGGTTCCATGAGCGAACTGTGACAGAAGTGTCCTAGAACAATTCAATTGGCCAGTGTGATAAGGCAGTTTGCCCTGCTTTAGGCAAAGTCAAGGGATATCTAGATAACTGGATCATGTCTGATTCAACCCAATTTGCTGTTGTTGTATGTTACCATTGCACTCTGACAAAGGTTCTGGTTGCTGAAGGTACTTCTGCTAGTGTCAGAACAGAGTATCCACATGACCATCAAGAAAGGAGGGAAGGTCATCTCAGGAGGGTCTCATTCTGTCATCAACAGAAGTACCCACAACTTCCAGGAGCAGTGTGACATGAAGGCAGCAATACTCCAGTGGGGCCGATGCAATCCCAGGCCACCTGAAGAATGTCCCTGGATTCAACACTTTAGTTCTGAATTTGGGGCTGCTTTATAGGCAGATTTACACTTGGCTAACATACCCAATATAGACATGAACTGAGACTATCCCACTTTACCAATGTGTCAAATGAAGTTTCCTTGTAATAAAACATTGATACAACAGTCCTGCCCTCTCCAACCCAGTGCTTCCAGGTGAAGTGAGGATCAATTCCAATCTCTCCCAGCTATCATGCTGAGTTAGGCTGACTAAGAATGGTGGGATTTATAGTACCTCACCCCTGGAAGACACCAGGTTTAGGAAGGATGTAACAGATTAAATTTAGCTGAAGTTATTTCAAACCAACATTGAAGCAATGACATTTTAATATCTGAACATTATTCCAACATTGTATAGGACAGAAAATAAGATAATATTATATGTTTGTACCTGCAGAAACATCTAGCTTGACTCTGAAGGAAAGTCCTTTGTCATTTAAACCAATGCCACATTTGTAGGGTCCCATGTCTCTTCTTACCAGATTAGATATTTCTATGATGAATAGTCCATTCTCTGGATAATCTATTATTGAAGTTCTACCTTCAAATCCTCTAGAGACATATCCATTAGAGGAAATGATAGTAGAGCAATGTTGTGTTGACTCCTTGCACCAGTATTTCCTGGAATGTTTATTCACACTCGTACGAGGGTAGAAACATTTTACGGTAACAGAGCCTCCAACCAACCCAGTCACCTCCTTTGGTCCAAAAATGGGACTTGAATTTGAAACTAAGATAGGAAAAAGAATACGTTACCAAAGATGAGATCTAAAATTACAGAAATAGTCAAATTGTTTTAATCAGATCTTCAATCAGACTGAACCCAATTCTTGGAGATGCTATGCAAAAGTAATATGTGCTCTGTTTATCTGCTCTGACCTACAATATGGTGTATATCTTTAGAATCCATATAGGAAGAAAAAGAAAGATTTGAAAACAAACTTATGTACCCCACTAATAAGCTTACATTGTTTACTTCCCTTTTCTATTCAGCAAGTAACCGTTTACGGTGCAGCTTGTCACATGCATTCAAAACTTTCATAGGCATGTAATTCCAAGTAACATCTAATAGTATTCTGCCATATTTACCACTGCCTCCATTAATTAATTAGACATTCTGCTTAAAGAAAGACAGAGCTAATATCTGTACATTCCATAAATTCAGTTGTTGATCTTGATAAGAGTAGACTCACCATATGAACAAAATGTAGGTAAATACTGGCTTACAAAGCTACCACCAAGGCCAAGTTTGTTGTTATGTGCCTTCAAGTCATTTCCAGTTTATGGAGATCCTAAGGCAAACCCAACATGGGGCTGAGTATGTGACCCAGCCAATATTACCCAATAGATTTCTATGGCTGACAGGAAATCAAACCCTGATATTCAGAGTCATAGTTGAATGCTGAAACCACTACACTACACTAGCTAGGACAAATAATTACCATATACACTCATGTTTAGCATTTTTAGTAAAATAAAAATCGCCCCCAAAATCTGTGATGACTTATCCACAAATCAATGTGATTAGGAAACCTTAACTTTTATCTAAAAAGTTCAATTCTCTGAGTAAAGTGACTAAAGAGAAGAGCATCGGGCATACCAGGATAACTTAAAAGAAGCACTGACCCACCTCTACTTTCTCCAGTATGGTGGCACTTCTGGCCTTCTTGAATGCCTGGGCAAGGACATGGTGGTGGTCACCAGGGGTAGCTGGCCCCCTGAGGTGGCACTGTGCTTTTTGTTCTTTCTGGAATGATCCTTGACTTATCCATGGGTCATATCAAAAGACATAATGTGGCCTTAAAACCAGCTCTTGATTTATACATGAGGTTAACTTATATATATAGGAGATCTATTTTGTTCCCTCTTTGTAATACATGGGACAGACATGTACACAGATGAATGCATTTTCATGGGTTTGTTTGTAATACATGGGATAGACATTTGTAATACATGGGATAGACATATACACAGATGAATGCATTGTCATATGTTTGTTTTGTGTAAGTGACTATGGATTGTCCTACAGCAACATGTACAAATGTTTCAATCTATAGTCTGCAGAGATAAGTCCTTGGTGCTTTTAGTTTCTCTAGTGGTTGCTGAAATACTCACTTGCAGAATCAGCTTGGACAATGGTTAACAAAAAGATGAGACTCAGGAAAGCCATTTTCAAGAAATGGTCCTATATTTGTGATCCAGGTTCCTTGCATATACTGAAACAAATTAGTATATCTGTAAAATAAACAAGATTATCTCATGCTTATATACATAGAGAAAGGTGAAACAGACAAAATGGGAAGGGGAGGGAGAGAAAGATAATAAGTCTTAAATCAAACAAATAACCTAGAAGTACGAGGGTTATCCAGAAAGTACGGTTACATGGCACATAGCGCTCACAGGAAATTTTCTCAGAAGAAGTTGGTTGGTATCACTGCTGTGCTGTGACAGAATACTGCTATCCTGAGGATGTCAGAGGAAGCGAATGAGCAGTGCCAGTCATCACTAGCACATCGACTATTTTGGTGGCATTGTGGTGAAGATTAGAGATGAGCATCCTCATCCTGTTTCCTTCTAAATGCAAAGTTCACTCTGCAATATGCTGCCTAAATGCTAAGGACATGCACCATTGCAATTCATTGCGAAATCATTTCAGTTTATGGGGAGTCCAAAACAATTGGAGGGCCCAGATTGTCTATCCCTACTTTGAAGCTTACTCAAGGTTATTGCTTCTGGATAATCTGGAACAAACTTATCAGCTATAAAGCTTGAACAAAAAAGAGATGCAATATTTTGAGGACCAGTATGCAAAAAGACTGACTCCAACTGTTATGTACTCACCAGGTATATAGCTGCCTATCATCACCTTCAACCCCATCACAATATCAAAGACAATAATGTATTTATTAGTGCTGTCTTGAGTGTTGGAATAACTCAACATATTTTCTCCAAGCAAACATTACACCAACCAAGATCAAGGAGACAGAGTGTAACTTTACATTCACAGAATTATATGACAATTATGCATTAATAAATGAAACATGGGGCAACCGAATGTAAAAACAAATATGAAATGCACTGTGCAATGCCTATTTGCATATGTGCACTGTGGCACTACATTCACAACCACAATCCTCTGCTGAAAATGGTCTTTTTCACTGGACAAAAATGCCCACTCATTCCCAAAGGGTAACTTACTCATGGATAAGTCATTAACAGAATATCAGTTATGAGCACAATAAGGAGGCCAAGTATTACATGTGTTACAGATGGCAATGAAATTGTCTGCTTATAGTTTGAATAAATCTATTTCATGAATTTGCGTCTGGATTTAATGGTGCATACAAAACGGCAACCTTTGCATAGTGTCTGCACCAGAAATGCTCTCTTGATTAGTAAGGGGAGTCAATGCTTTGCATTTAAAAGGAAATGGAAAGGATCAGTTCCTCATATCAGTGAAAAGAATGCCAGACAGTGATGATGGAAGAAGTCCCCAGAAGAAACAGGACATTTCCTTTTTACTCAGCAATGAGGCTCAAATGGACTTCCTCTGGTGGGTTAAAAAGAAACTTTGTTAAAAATCATTTGTCTGTTCTACATTCATTGGATTAGTCATTAATTGTTTCAAAGTTGGAGACAATAAATGCTTTACATGGCATTTAGATATTTAACGGACCAGCATTTTCCTTGTGATAATGAGCTGATCTGAACCACTAGAGGGCAGTGGCAATGTATAAATGTATACACTCAAAAATTAGAAAAGTTTTACAACTATTTTAATTTTGATGCTTAGGTACGCAGAATCCATTATTCCAGATTTCATATAATGAGAGACAAAAATATTGGAACTAGAATTGGTGCATTGCTGCCATCACATTTCTTTCAGAATACTGCTATCCTGAGGTCCCTAAACATAATGGAAAAGAAGGTGACAAAATTCTCAATTCAACATATATATTTTTGTCCAGGGCCTGATAGTGTCTTACTCCTACGCCAGCCGACTTTTCATGCCAAAATAAAATTTGATTGATAAATTAGATTGAAGCTGATTCTTTAATGAGCAGGATCAGAACCTTGATCCCAGTGGCCACTTTAAAAGATTTCAGCTGTTTTGGAGTGCCTTTAAATATGGATCTAGCAAAATCACCCCCCCCCCACCCCCCACCCCCCAACAGCCTGCCCACACTGCTTATCCAATGTATTCTACTTTTGCTCCCTTCTTTATTTCAGGGGTTGATACCAAAAAGGAGTAAATGTCTCCACAGAGAATCTGACGCATGCAATTTTAATTTCGTTATGCATACAACTACCAACAGGGTATTCTTCAAATATCTCGCCAGTGTTAGTTTTTACCACTCACCCCTTTGCACCCCCTAGATAATATTTGTCCTTGCTTCCTTTTACTTACAATTCTGAGGAAATAAGGGGACAGTATTCTAAGCACCTCATCGGCTGCCAGAAACCACTCCTTAAAATCTTGACAAGGTTTCTGTTCTAAATTTGCGTATATCTAACCTTTACTCCTCATCACCTATCAGGAAAAAATTATCAAGGATCAGAGAGCAGTGTTTATCTTAGATTTTATCCCCAGCGACTGCTTAAGCTCATTAAACTTGCAAGTAAGTCTTTGGCATCCTTCAAAACAAGGGACCTTGGTAAGAAATCTGGGGTGCAAATCAAAATGGTTAGGGAGTTAGTCAGGAATCAGTTAACAAACCAAAATGAGTTCAAATCTGCAGAGCCAGATGAACTGCAAACTAAAGTACCAAAGAAATTTTCTGAAGTTATCTCTCTTGGAAATATCTGCCATGATTTTTGAGAAGTCATGAAGAACAGGTGAGGTGTCAAAGAACTGGAGAACGGCAAAAATTGCCTTTCTCTATTTAAAAAAAAGCAAAAAAGAAGATTTGGAAACCACAGACCAGTCAGCCTTACTTCAATACCACAAAAAATATTAGTTCACTGGGTTGTGGTGAGTTTTCCGGGCTGTATGGCCATGTTCCAGAAACATTTTCTCCTGATGTGGAACATGGAACATGGCTTCTGGAACATGGCCATACAGCCCAGAAAACTCACAACAACCCAGTGATTCCAGCCACGAAAGCCTTTGACAATACAATATAAATCCAGATTATGGAGGAGTTTATTTCCAAGTCTCTTGATCAGTAGGAGCAAGCATGGGTTTGTCAAGAACAAATCTTTCCATCTTTTTTTCTTCACTCTTTCAGTTGATGGAGAGAATGACATGGATGTCATTTTTCTGGACTTCAGCAAAGCACTTAATAGGGTCCCTCATAATGTTCTGATAAGCAAACTGATTAAACATTGTAGAGATGGGAACATTGTCAAATGGAGTAATAATTGTTTGGGAAAGCATGCTCAAGGAATTGTCATCAATGAGCTGTGCTTCAAACTGGAAGGAGGTCTTAAGGGGAGTGCTTCAAAGTTTTGACTTAGGACCATTACTCTTCAACATTTTTATCAATGATTTAGATGACAGTGAAGGAATCCTAATCAAGTTTGCAGGCAACACAATGCTGTGAAGGATGGCTAACAGAAATAGAAATCTGGGCAGAAACCAGTAAAATGGAATTCAGTAGAAACAAATGCAAAATTCTACATTTAGACCGCAAAAACCAAATGCACTCGTATAATAAGGTGAAATACATGGTTCAACAGTACTACTTGCAAAAAGGACTTTGGGATTACTAGAATCATAGAATCGCAGAGTTGGAAGAGACCACAAGGACCATCCAGTTCAGCCCTCTGCCATGCAGGAAGACACAATCAAAGCACCCCCCCCCCAACAGATGGCAGTCTGGCCTCTGCTTAAAAACTTCCAGAGAATGAGATTCCATCATGCTCAGAGGCAGTATATTCCACTTATGGAACTACATACTAAATCATGAGTTGGGTACTGTCTGGGAGTTCAGAGAATGTTGTACTTATATTTATTCTCCTTTCTGGACTACAGAAGTCTGACTGAAAAAAGCATCTTAACATTTGTTAATCATATATCAAATGAAATCAAACTTAAAGTTTTATAGTTATGACATATAATAATATCACACAATTGGCTTAGCACTGTAAGCTCCAAGTTAAGAGAAACAATACCCCACTACATTCAATATTGGTCATGCCTCATCTGGAGTATTGCATTCAGATTTAGGTATATCATTTTATGAAGGATATAGACAAGTTTGAACAGGGTCAGAAAAGGGCAATGAGGATAAGATCTATAGCAAATAAAGCCTATGAGGAAAGGTTGAAGGAAATGGGCATGTTCAATTTGTTGAGGAGTAGACTGAGGCCCCTTCTGCACTGCCCTATATCCCAGGATCTGATCTCAGATTATCTGCTTTAAACTGGATTATATGAGTCTCCACTGCCAGATAATCTGGGATAAGCAGATAATCTGGGATCAGATCCTGGGATATGGGGGCAGTGCGGAAGGGCTTCGAGAAGTGACATGATTGTGTTCTTTAAAACATCAAGTCCTGTCATAGAGATGATTGTGAAAGACCAGATGTAATGCCTTGAAATTGCAGGGGCGTAGATTTCAATTGAACATTACAAGGAACTTCTTGATTGTGAGAGCAGTTTGGCAATGGAACCAATTGCCTAGGGAGATTTTGAGGTCTCCTTCTCTGAATGTTTTCAAAAAGAGACTTGAGAGTCATCTGTTGGGGATACTTTAGTTGGAGAACCTGCATTTAGAAGAGGGTTGGATTCAATGGCAAATGAGGCACTTTACAGCTCCATGATTCTATTGCTTTTTAACTCTGTCTATATCCCAAGGAACATGTCTTCCTTGCAAGCTTCTAGATGCAAACTTTTTCTGATATTAGGTTAATGAAATCAGTGTTGATTCCATACCACTCTGGAATATATTGGAAATTAGGATTTCATCCATTTATGCCAGCATAATGGCTATATCCCTGGGCTATGGGATGTTGGGATCTGGCATTTTGTCATAACATACCACTTCCCTTGCTCTAGAAGAAGAAGAAGAACTTTATTTTTCTACCACGCCTCCATCTCCCCGAAGGAACTCAAGGTGGCTTACATGGGGCCAAGCCCAGGGAACATACAATTAAAAGCAAAGCAATAACAAAATACAATTTAAAAAGCATAAAACAACATAACAATAATAGGCAAGCATCAAGCAACAAAAAACTAATTTGAAAAAAAAAGGGGGGGGGGGAGAGGCCAATATACTGAATAAAGAGTAATTGGTTCAATAAGGTAGATGTAAATGTATAATAACATTGGAAATATCATGAAAACAGAGCAATTTAACAGAATCAGAAACAATTTAGCTTGACTTACAAAATCTGAATAGTAATGTAATATAGGAAATTCAGGTTGAATGATAATTAGGTTGCGATACAGGTCATATGTCATGGATTTGTCAGTCAAATGCACAACGAAACATCCATGTTTTTAATTCCTTACAGAATGTGGTTAGCGAGGGCATCAGCCTGATCTCCCTGGAGAGGGAGTTCCAGCAGTGAGGTGCCACTACCTAGAATGCCCTTTCCCTCGTCCCCACCAATCATTCCTGAGATGGGGGCGGGAGCGAGAGAAGAGCATCCCTGGACGATCTTAAGGATCGCATGGGCTCATAGGGGAGGAGGCGTTCCCACAGATAGGTCCTGAACCATTTAGAGCTTTATGGGTAACGACCTGCACTTTGAATTGGGACTGGAAATTTATTGGCAGCCAGTGGAGCTGTTTAAACAGGGGGGTTGACCGTGCCCTGTAACTTGCTCCAGTTAACAATCTGGCCGCCAACCTTTGCACCAACGGTAGTTTCCAAACTGTCTTCAAGGGCAGCCCTATATAGAGAGCATTTCAGTAGTCCAATCTTGAGGTAACTAAGGCTTGGACCACCATGGTCAAGTCAGACTTCTCAAGGTACGGTAGCAGCTGGCACACATGTTTTAACTGTGCAAAGGCCCTCCCAGCCACTGCTGACACCTGAGCATCAAGTGTCAGCACTGAATCCAGGAGGACCCCCAAACTGCGGACCTGTGCCTTCATGGGGAGTGCAACCCCTTCAAACACAGGTTGCCACCCTATACCCCATTTGGCCGAGCGACTGACCTGGAGGACCTCTGTTTTGTCAGGATTCAGTTTCAATCTGTTGGCCCTCATCCAGCCCATCACAGCAGCCAAGCACTGGTCCAGGACCCGAGGGACTTCCTTGGATTTTGGTGGAAATGTAGATATTATATATCATGTAGATATTAAAGGGCATGGGGGAAAGAATAGAACCTTGCTGGACCCCACAGGTCAAGGGCCAGGGGTCTGAGCAGGTATCCCCCAGCTTCACCAACTGGGTGTGGCCCTCCAGAAAGGACTGGAGCCACTGCAATGCAGTAATCCCAAGACCCATACTGGAGAAAGCCGCTGAGATGTCCAAGAGAACCAACAAGGTCACACCCTGTCAAGCTCTCTTCGGAGGTCATCTACAAAGGCTACCAAAGCCGTCTCGGTACCATGACCAGGCCTGAAACCAGACTACAAAGGGTCCAGAAAATCAGTTTCATCTAGGAATCCCTGGAGCTGAGAAGCAACCACTCGCTCCAGAACCTTGCCCAGAAAAGGGAGGTCTGAAATTGGCTGATAGTTGTTCAATATAGACGAATCAAGAGACGCCTTTTTAAAAAACGGTCTCATGACTGCTTGCTTAAGGCAAGATGGAATTAGTCCTTGCTCCAAAGAAGCATTTATTATCTTTGACAACCAGTTGGCCAACTCTTCTCTGGCAAGTTTTATAAGCCATGATGGGCAAGAGTCCAGTGTGCACGGGGTCGCCCTCACTGCTCCAAGGATTTTGTCTGTCCCTTTCCAACTGTCTATTTGGCCCTTCTGCAAGTTGATGTCAACTGGTGAAGTAGTTGTGCATTGATGTAGTTGTGCAGAGTAGTTCCAATGTAATAATCTTTTCTCCTACATTTTGTCAATATTTCAGTGGTATCAAAACAAATAATCCTATAAGAGCTTGCCCTGAGGGATCCCCAGGATAGGATACTGTGGACCAACTTGTTTTCAGAGACAATCCATGAAATCATGTCATGACTGGTTGACATGAATGCCTCAACTGGTGTTCTCCATGGTTGCTTTAACTACATTCTAGTGAGGTCTGCTATTTGTTATACTGCTGTAGTTGCATCTATGCATTGACAGGCAAGGTTCTCCAGGACAGTGCCAAACAATAATAGCTTCTCCAGCTAGAAGGGAAGTGTGGCTTCACATTGTGGCCATGGTGGTTCTTTTGGCTGTGGATTGAAAAGCAATTTGTCCCACACATATCTAAGCTACCTAAGACAAAGTTTTCGCCTTGGGAGGGCCAGCTCTTGTCCACATTACCCCTGTTTATGTAATGAGCCATGCCCGCCAAGTATTTATTTCATCCAGGAAGTGTTCGTGTTTATAAAAACTGTAGTGAATGCCAAGTGAGCCCTGTGTCAATAGCCTGACATATTTATTCTCTGGGCATCAAGTGATGGACTTTGTTGTACAGGG